AGCATACTCTGTGCATTGGTGTACATGAAAGTTAGCTTTCTGTTTGCCCGAGGTGCGGTTACGGTCAGGCTCGTCCCACCCTTTACTGGGCCGACTGCGCGGTCATCCGGAAAGACCTGTCCAGGGGAGAACATTGGACACTGGATCACTTGGTTGTTGTAAATAACCAAATGTTTTTGCCCTTCGCTTTGCCTCTGTCTCAGTTCGGTTACAAGTTGCCGGCGTTTTTTCCGTAACGCAGGTGAGAAGCCCCATTAGAGCATTATGAAACACGGCTGTCGAATCTCAACCTCTTTCCATTGCGGTGCAGGCAGCTTCGGAGGAACTTATAATAACATTTCCCGTATTACATGTTCGGGACTGTTTTCTTATATCAGGCGATTTCTTCGAGTTAGCAACAATAACGAGTTTGAGAGGTCATCCTCTCAAATTACGAGTGACTGGGGCCAGGCTGGATGCTCGGAAGCACTTCTTCTCCAAGAGAGTAGTCGAAGCTTGGAATATGCTTCCTCTGGTTGTCGTTCTGTCGGAATCCCTCGAGGTATTTAAGTGAAAGTTGGATCGATATAGCCATACGCGCTACTGAAAGTACTGACCGTGTCAACAATTTACAATTGTGATACTACTTTCGATGTTTTAGTGGAATCAGTTTATAGCACAACGTTTATGGGGGATTTTGCTCCAGTCAGCTCGGCTACTAACGGCGAATCGCAATACTACTACCACTACTAATACTACTAGCTATATTTCGGCAACATTTATGTATGCTATTTTACACATGAAACCCTAGGGCTTACGCTTTGCCTATCATTAGTTCCATGCGAAGATCTCCGCCGTCCTCCCTATTTTGGCTATATGCGTACTTCGATGACACCATCAGCGATCGCACCAGCCGAACCTGGCGGCCTACACACTAAGGAATAGTTTATTGTGTACACAAAGGAACGGAGAATAGATTGCAGAAAATTGACTTGGGAGAGCCCGACCACCAAGTAGATCGACCGGTCTTAGCAGCAATCAGGCCAGAAGATAGAGAGAGAGAGCGCGCGTCCATTGGCTAGGTCGGCCTGGAGAC